ATATTGGAATGACCATCCAAAATGAGCAACACGGCCTAACTGTGGAAGAACCGTGATGCACCTGAAGCACTTGAAGATGCTAGGGCTCTTCTCTCCTCTGTAAGGCATGATGGATAGAATTTATTCCTAAATGCTCAGATGATGAGAGGTAATGTTGCAGGTTCCTTAAACGACAACATCTTGGCCCCATTATCTACTTCAAAGTGCATGTGTGGGAAATGGAGAGAAGTGCATTGCACTGGGCTGACCTGGCCCTGCCACCAGCCGTCCCAGAAAGCACGACTGCTTGGAATCAGAGTGGAATAGTAATGGGAGGGGTAAGGAAAACTAATTTCTCCTCACTTTGTGATTTGCTGCCTTAGCTGGAGGGCAGGAGTCATTTTGCATTGACACACTATTTCTGGAGTCAGACTGCTTGTGACCTGATAAGTGCTGATGCAAAGGTAACTGATCTTGGGAAAAACATGGGTCCATAATAGGCGTAAAGGAACATCTCTAAGATAAGTTTTAAAATAGATGCATCTGATGAGTTTCAGTAGAGCTGCTGCCACATGTGGACTACAGAATTCTCTGACCTTAAACAGAAATACTGTGTTGTGTCTCCTGAGCATCAAAGCATCTGCCTTAGAAGAGCCACTAAAACATGGAGAAAGTATTTTTGATCTACAGAAAAATGTTCCTTACAGAGACTTATTGACAACAATGCCAGATTCAGCTTTCCATTTCTGTAAATGCTTCATGGCTGTACACTCAGGACACAGAAACATTTCCTTGACCAAAATGTGCCTTTTTCCCCAATGACAGAAGAAGAGAGGAACAGAGAAAGAAAAGTAAAACAAAATAGGGGGAAAGAGGGAGAGGGAGAAAGATCTGTGGAGTACTGTGTCCAATTCTGATCTCCACTATTCAAGAAAGTCGTGGACAGACTGGAGAGGTTCCAAGGAGGACCTTAAAGATAATTTAAGTACTGGAGAACCTGCACTATGAGGAAAGACTGAAGGAGTTAGATCTTTTCTCTCTGGAGTAAAGATGGTTCTGAGGGGGTCTCATCACAGTTTTCCAGTATTTAAAGGGTGGTACAAAGAGGACACATATTCTCTCCTGACAAGGCGCAACATGGATAGGTCAAGGGGTAATATATGTAAGTTGCACCGTGAGAGATTTCATTTTGATATCAGAAAGAAATTCTTACCATGAGAACAATCATTCACTGGAACAACATCCCCAGGGAAAGGGGTGGATTCCCCATCAGTGGTGGTTTCCATTATGTGACTGGACAGGGTGCTAGATAATTTCATCTAGTCTCCTTTTCCTATGAAAGGCTAGGCCACATGGTCTGCTGAGGTCCCTTCCAATGTGGGCTGTTCTAAAATTCTGTGGTTTGAGAGATTTTTCAAAAGGAAGGTTGTGTCAAAAGAGATGCAATATCTGTATAACTTCAATTTATAGCCTCAAAAAAGTCAGGCTTGAAAATGAAGTTGATATACTTCCATGCAAAGATATTTAAGTTTCTACTGTAGATGAATCATACTTCATAATATTTTTTTTTCCCCTTCTCTCACTACAAGCTGTTTAAAAAATTATTTCTGTCATTTCTGCTTCAGTTTCCAACATCTCAGACATTTCCAGACATCCTCTTCTTCCCATTGACTTCCTTCTACCCTACTCAGCTTCTGTGTAACTGTAGTTCCAGTGAATGGTGGAAAAATTATCCTCTATATAACCTTCATCTTATTTAAAACACTGTTCAGTTGTCACCCTCTCCAGTTTTCTGTGATGGTAGGAGAAGGATAGTTAGCTAACTGTGATGTACTTTCAAGAACTGCTTATCCTAATATCCCAGGTCATAGTTTTTACCCTACTGCCAAGTGCTCAGTGAAATGATACCTTCCCCTTAACTGCAGATTATATGTCACTTTTCAGGAAGCTGCTTGGAATCCACACTGAAAAAGCATGGTATCAGCTTTACAAAAATGCATCTTCCAACACTGCATACCAGGAGAAGTAACTGCTTTGGTTTCCATGAAGTGAAGCAAGATCGCAAGTATACCAAGCACTAAGGATGTGGAGAGAGAAAGGCTAGCCATTTATATGAAAAAAATCCCAACAACTCCCCCCAGCTTTCACCAGCAACACTATCCTGGAGCTTATGCTCTAGCTCCATATATTTCAGCTTGCATTTCTCATAGCCCATGCTATTAAAATCCTGAACTGTTTTTTTTTTTTGTTTTGTTTTGTTTTGTTTTGTTTTATCTCAGAAGACGCATTCAATTCCCTCATTAGGTATGATCATTAGCAAATTTATTTCAGAAGTCAATTCAGGTTTCCCACTTCTTTTTTTTCTGCACTACCATGGAATTCCTCCACTAGGGATGCCAGAGCAGATCTCTGAGATATGTTTGTTTCTTTATGAGGCAACACATGATGCCAGCCACAGTATGGTAGACAAACAGCCTGCAAGATACAAAAAAAAATTCTCTCACTTTAATCTGTCCTAATTCATACTCATTTTTATATGGAAAGTATGTCCTTACCATTGCCATGGTCCAGTACTCAGCTGCATCTTAGCAGAAGGGTAGGGATGAGAAGTTTTGCTCTAGTGGATTAGAGCAGTGGCATTTCTTTTCAGCTTGTGCTAACACTCCTGGGAGCTCTCATTTTACACAGAGGGCAGCAGAAATGCTGCTGCAGCAGAGGCTGAGCTTTCCCTGACAGACAGTTAATTGGGGTCCGCAGGGTGCACTGATGCCTCCAGCATTCCTTGCTCATACTGAGACTGTGGCTGACAACAGCACTTGCGAGCTGCAAATCCAGTGAGGAACATTTTTGAATAAAATAATGTCATATCAGATAATCCAAAGAAGTACAAAACTCAGTTTAACTGGAAATGTCGGTACATTTTCTGTGTTATCTGTGACCTTTTTAATGTAGCTTACTATATAGCAGGTATGTCTCTGCACGTCCGAGTGTTTCAGTGATTGCTACAATTCTGACAGCTTCAATACTAACTTGAAAGTGACAAAAGCCATCACTGAAGAGTGGTCCCATTAACTGCATCGTTGGGACTAATCTGTTCCAATGTGAGGAAAAGTTCTAAACAATGATCCAGATGGTCTCACCTCCAGCCCCAATATATGTCTATTTATGTATATGTCTATTATAAGCATTTTATGAGTGGAAGGCCTGCATGAGAGAATGCGTAAGAAACAGTAACCATTGAAGTACAAGAAGAGCACTACAGGAAAACAATCAGAAAAGCTAAACAATTTGTGCTGGTTTTTACTTCAGAAGGGACGAAGTTTCCAGAAAGAATATCTAATAATAGAGAAAAATATGAGGAACCCTCTTAACTTAAGGTCTCAGTTGGATACTTCAGGTTGAGGAGAAGATAATATATTGAACAGCAACACATGTGTTGCAGAATATTTTGTATACCCAGGAATATTTAAAAAAAAAAATCTTAAACAAAACAAACAAAAAACCCAACAGATTGAATTGTAGTGGAAGTGACCTGTTGTTTAAATCATGCTTAGTACCAAGGGAAAAAAATGTTGTACCTGTGGTATTAGACTTAAAATTTTCCAGATTGTGGGGAAGTAGATTTCTCAGTCTGACACCTGTGTAAGATAAATTGGTAGAAAACACAGTAAGAACAGAATTTGAAAGTGAAAGCTGTGTCTCACAATACATTTGACTTCAAGAGACTCAACAGGGACATGGATAAGAATGACCTGGTCATTGAAGTACAATGAGATTTTTAAAAGTAGTTTCATGCTCCTACATGACATGGGCAAAAAGTGCTTAAACTGGAAAGAAATATTTACCTTGTAAATTGAAAAACAGGACATGAAACATGGAAATAAATGCTTAGCTGAGTTGGGAAGCCATAAGCAGAGTCCTACAGAGATGTGAGTTCTATGCAGTTCAATGTATACATAAACGGTCTGGAAAAAAAAGGACTTAAAAATGTTAAAATCATGGTAATATCTTCTTGTGTCACTAAAATTCACATTCTCTGTCATGACATTCTCAGAGAATGAGAGAATGACTGTCTAAAAGGTCAGTAGAAATTTAGGTTAATGGTATTTAACATTTATAAACTAATCATTTCTCTACATCCCAAAAAACTGTTTATTCATGAAAAAATTCTTGGTATCCTTATGATGATTCTCTGAATTGTCAACCAAAAAGCAGATTGACAATACAGATGGAAAAATAGGATCTTTTATGGAAGACACTGATGACAGATCAGAATATATCATTATGTCATGGTATAAATCCTTCATGTGCCCAAAGCTTGAATACTGGATTTAGTTTTGGTAACTAGATCCCAAAAAAGTTGCTTGAGAGCAGAAAAGGCTCCCAAGTAATATCAGAGAGAGAGAACTTCTCCCATACAAGGAGACAAAGATGTGATGGAAATCTATAAAATCAAGTGTGTGGAGAAGGGGAAGATAAATAGATTGTATCATGTGTAGACATGAAACAATCATCAGCAAGTAAACATACTTTTAATGTTAGTAACACAATCTTGCCTTCCTGCATTTCTTTGTCAGCTGCTACATGAGGGAAAGCACATAAACTTTCCTGTGACATCTGGCACATGTAAAACAGCACCTCATGTGAGA